AAAGGTATAGCACAATAGCAACACCCCAAAACTGATATTTGGGTGCCGGAGGTCTTGCGAGGTGGATGCCCTGCAAGAGTCTACATATGGAAGGGTGTTTGCCAACTGAGGAGTTGTCAACAGGGTTATGAGCCACAGAAATAGCAGAGCGAAAAACATTACGTATCCACTGCCAGGCACGCTAGGTCTGGAAGCCAGCTGAAAAATGCGTCCATCTGATGTTTCAGGCGAGATGCAAACAGGTCCAGCTTGAGTGGTCCTCTCAGGAGCTGGAGACGGTGAAATATTTGTAGGTCCAGTTGCCAATCGCTGGAGTCCCTAAAATGACTGGAAAACCAATCTGCAACGAGATTGTCAGAGCCTGGAAGAAATTCTGCACGAAGGGAAATGCTCCTGTTCAGGCAGAATTGGTACAATTCCTTAGTCAGATCCGATAGCATCTTTGATCGTGAGCCACCGAGGCGGTTCACGTACTGTACAGTAGACTTCTTTAGCAAAGCTGCAGATCGCGAAAGAACCAGCAATTAGCTTGAGGCAATTGATGTGCAGTGCTCATTCTGATGGGGACCAGAGTCCTCCGGTAGAAGGTTCCGAGAAGGTGGCACCCCATCCGAGAAGGCTGGCATCTGATTCCAGAATGAAATCGGGTTGTAGACCAAAGATAGCCCTTCCGGGGGGGCAGAGCTTGCCAGCGCAGCCAAGCAGACGCCATCTATTTGGGCTCCGATAAGCTAACTGATTCCCTGCAGCAAAAAGGACGAACCAGGGGCAATCCAACCCCATCAGCTTGGGGAACTGACCCGCTGCCCACCGATGCCCTTCTTCCAGCCACCGAAATCAGGCAAATCTAAGCGCAAGTCCGGGCCTACAAAGCACCGGCCTACATTAGCTGGGACACGCTTCTTGGAGGTGCAGTACTTACCAGAGCCGACGGAATACCTCCACAACCCACACAGAGTCCCACAGCAAACCTGGTGGACATGAGACGCAAACAGCAAAAGCCCTTGCACGCACGGAGATGTCCAGGACTCAAGGGACATAAGCACAATGCTGCAAAAGTCAGCACCATCCAAAATGGCGGCCGGGGAGAGCGGGAGCACGAGGAACGCCTCAGACAGGATGGAACACAAGGGGACACAGGCCACATTGGCGAGGGATGAAACGGACACCACACATCTTGACTCCATAACCAGCAACCTAGCCACTAAGCAGGACTTACAAACCCTCTTACTGAACATACAGAAACTACTGACAGCGGACACAGCTGCAATTAAAAAGGACGTTCAGCAGTTCACAGACCGCGTCAGTGCCACAGAGAATGACATACAAGATATCCGCACAGAGATATCAACCATGCAAAACACCCTAAGCAAACTTCAGACCCCTAACCAGGTACTTACCTCACAAATTTCAGCGCTAGAAGACCGCCACAGGCCTAATAATGTCAAGATTCCGGGGCCTACAAAGCACCGGCCTACATTAGCTGGGACACACTTCTTGGAGGTGCAGTACTTACTAGAGCCGACGAGATACCTCCACAACCCCCACAGAGTCCCACAGCAAACCCGGTGGACATGAGGCGCAAACAGCAAAAGCCCTCGCACGGAGATGTCCAGGACTCAAGGGACATAAGCACAATGCTGCAAAAGTCGGCACCATCCAAAATGGCGGCCGGGGAGAGCAGGAGCACGAGGAACACCTCAGACAGGATGGAACACAAGAGGACACAGGCCACATTGGCGAGGGATGAAACGGACATCACACATCTTGACTCCATAACCAGCAACCTAGCCACTAAGCAGGACTTACAAACCCTCTTACTGAACATACAGAAACTACTGGCAGTGGACACAGCTGCAATTAAAAAGGACGTTCAGCAGGTCACAGACCGCGTCAGTGCCACAGAGAATGACATACAAGATATACGCACAGAGATATCAACCATGCAAAACACCCTAAGCAAACTTCAGTCCGCTAACCAGGTACTTACCTCACAAATTTCAGCGCTAGAAGACGGCCAAAGGCCTAACAATGCCAAGATTCGCGGGGTGCCTGACACAGTAACAGCAGAGGAACTGCACCACTACCTGTGACGCCTAGTGACCGGCCTCAGTGGTGAGAAAATGTACTATTGACGGGGCATATCTCTTACCTGAACCCACCAAGGCACAACCAGCTGCCCCCAGGGATATTATTCTGCGCTGCATATCACATCAGGACAAAGGACACTTGCTGAGAGCCCTGAGGGACAAAACCCCATATACATTTGAAGGCTCCCAGCTCACGGTCTACCAGGACCTCACAAGGGCCACCAATGGCGCAGATCTCTACAACCTATCACATCTCAACTACGCACGGCAGGGATTGCATACAGATGGGGGACCCCACGATCCCTACTGGTATCACATGAAGGAGCCACACACAAGCTGGGAACTGTCTCCGAAGGACCAACGCACCTGACCTCACTGGGTCTACACATGCCCACCGCTATCCCATCTGGGCAGCCGAACCCTGGAGGCTGGGATCCAGCTAACATCGTGATATTTGAACCAAGAACTGGTGCAGCCGCACCCACACCAACCTGACTATATAACATGCTACAGAAAATCACACCAAGGCTGTTACCCATAGTGTGCCTGCGTTTCCTTTATGTTTGCTTGTTTTCTTTTTCTTTCATGTTATCCACAAATGTTCTACAGCTCTCTCACACTCTTGACCACCCAGCCAACTATGAAATACATGACCACCACGCTAACGCAGCACGAGCGATATAGCCTGACACGGCCTTAAAAGGCGTCTAATATACCACACATACTCGCGGTCACAGATCGATGATCCCCATTGGCAAACAAATTTTATATACCTCCCCGCCACCCCCATGGTTAGGGGCACCCCACGCAGAGGAGAACCCCAACACCAGAGGTGCTCAGACTTACACTACTAGCATGGAGAAGGGCTACTGCCCCCCTCATAACACAACGGGCACCACAGGTCACACTACTTACTTCACCCCTCACTCTTACTCTACTCTCCCGGTTCAACATGCAAAACACAACCCTCATGCAATCTCTAGATCGAGCCCTGCATCACCCCCTCAACCTGTCATTTGTAAATGTAATCTTGACTTGTGTTACCTTGTTTAACTACCATATAAAACGGTGCTGATACCCTAGCAAGTGATATGATATTGTACCATCATCTTAACTGTCTTGCTGATGTCTTGAAGCGTTAATATGTCTATGCAACGCACCAACAAAATAAAGAATAATAAAAAAAAAAAAGATAGCCCTTTTGTTCCAGGCTTCCATATGTTGAAGCCACCAGTGGAGTTCCAATCTGACTTCGTCTTGTGGGAATATTTATGGGATAATAATAGTAACAGTGAGAATTGCCCACTAATTCAATTCTCAGATCCCAAAGAACGTTTATCGTGTTAAGTGGAATGTATTTCATATAATTAATATCACAATGTATAAAAATAGATTTTATTTATGATAACCAATAATTAACAAATAATATTATGTAACATGCATGACAATAATCAATGAATATCCAGTACAAAATTATATGCAATACAAAGAAATGGGTATTACGTTTCAATGGCTAAACGGCATTTTCTGTCAAGACTTCTACGATTTATGACTAGCTTCCACAGACTGAAAGTGAAACTTTTCACACAGAGAACAGAATTCCTCAGAGTGCAGCATAAGGTCGTAAAGTTTAGCAGACAGTTAGAATAACCCTTTCAATGCTGGCTAGATCTCCTAGGTAATTAAGATCTATTCTTATGTAATTTTTAAATAAAATAACATTTAAACCAGTTTAAATTCATTTTCTTAAACCATCCAATAAGAGAATCTACATATTATATAAGCAGATTTTAATTTGTCTAAAAGATATCTATCTTAATTTAGAGCAGATCAATACACCTGGATAAAAACAGCGGTATGCTAACACGTGATAATATCACATCAATATATAATTATTCTTAATTCCACCTGCAGAATGGAATGTTTATAACTATATATTCTTTAGTTAACTAAGATTTCTTAATATGGAAATCTGACGTGCTTTATCCAGTCATATATATCATGCTATTAATACATTTTAATTAATTTAATTTAATTAAATGAAACCAGTATAATTACCAGTTGAGTAGATATTTCATCCGATTGGTAGTCTCAGGAACTTATTTGGATGTCTCTCTGCATGGAGGTTGGTTAGAAAGTCAGTAAATTCTAAGTGTTAGAGTTTTAGGAGTAGAGTGTTAGTCTCAGATGTTGTCCGAGTTGGAGTCCCCAAGCTTCCAATTCCTCTCTCCTCTCCTTTGCATCTCTTGCATCTGCCTCTCCTCTCTTCCCTTTGTCTTAACTTTTAAAGGGCCAGACTCTCTGTACGTCATCAGTTGATAACCCAATAGAAGCACTAGAGGTGTGGTTATCTTCCAGATCGCAAATTAGTTATTTGGTCTGTAGAGGGCAATCTTGTCCCACTAAACATATCTATCCAGGAAAGAGTTAACTTTTCCTGGTGGCTATTTTGACGTCATTTTGCGTTATCTTTATAGCGCCATAATTTAAAATTTCAAAGGGTTTCTTAAATTTTGTCCAGACTTAGCGTCTGCAATTCCTGCCATAATTTCTGATATGGCAGATCATGAACTAAGTTTACCCTTTTCCATACAATGGTACCTTATATATATATATAGACAGTTAAATATTAAATTTAATCTTCTCTGTCACAATTGTCTGGGTTTAGATTTGATTATATTCTTCTTATCACTTGTTTATACTATGCTATGCATTCCTTAGCTCTGGCAAAGAGGCCAGTCTTTCAGAAAGAAATCTAGTGTCTTCTTTGTTAACTTGAAATAACAAAATGGAGTCTGGTCTGTTCAGAGTGACTCAGAATATACACTTTTAGTTTCTATCATAGCACAAAAATGTCTGCCGATATAAATACTCTGACATAACCCCCCTTTAGTGCATTTCGTAGCCAAAATTAATTTAGCTTATGAATAAGCACTATAGAAGTTATCAGACATATTGTGCAATCACATCATTTCTAACATAGGCCCGTGCGTGGAATGAACATTTTTGTATATATTTGTACCTGTAAAAGTTTTGAACTTTACACTTAGTACAATCAACCATAATACCATTATTAACATAGCACATTATTTTCATTTGAAAAATGTCTTTGGGAGTTACATATGGGATGGTCAATAAAAAGCAAATCTCCATACGTTCCGGATCAATTAAGAGAGGTATAGCGCTCCCCATCTCAAAGGCCAGATTTAATTGCATAGGCTCAATTGTCTCTCCATCCACATTGGCAAGCATCGCATGAACAATATCCTTGGATACAAAATACAGGGCTATGCGTCCCCCTGCCAGTTTGATCATTCCAGTTTGCACTTCGTCAAGAAAAGCAAGTGTGTGGAACAATATTGGGTCATGCAGACATAGAAGTTCACGCTTAAATAAGTCATGACTTTGGTGCAACTCAGTGGATTTGGTAATTAACTCCGAATGCAAATTTGTTGTAACAACTGTGTCTTCCACAATAGTTAACACGTCTTGGAGAAGTGTTCTTTGCTGGTTTATCACCTGATGAATATCATTAATGTGTTGCTTTAGCGCATAGATTTCCATATCCAGCTTTTGGACAGTAATAGAGTTGGCTGCAGACATTCCAGTTGCGACAACTGCACCGACAGTGGCACAAACTAATGCAACAATTATAGCAGTGAGGAACCTTTTGGGTCGGTTGCTCATCAGAATAGAACTGGATACAAATGGTTTCCGGGCTTGCTCCAAGATGTTTCGCACACGGTCCTGTGCTCTTTGGAGGTGCATCTGGTACCAAGTCTGTAACTCAGGAAGCTGCATCGATGAAATGTTGTATGCCTTCTCGATGGAAATCTTGGGGTCCAAACTGACGAACACACGTCGGGTCAGGATCCTCTTCTCCGTTAAGATGAACCCTGGTGTCTCTTGAATCAGGATGCCGGAGGATGGTCCCATCTCTGCGATCGGGTCGGTCCGTAGCTTTTGGCACAGGAGCAGTACGATCCAGAAACACGCCACATCCTTCTTGGACATCTTTCGACAGTCACGGATCAGGAACTCGTTTCAGACTTATCTACTAATGATTCAAGGTTTGTTAAGCGTACAAACTTATAACAGTGTGACATCACTTGGCCTAGGTCAACACATTTTTACGATTCATCACATATGTATTCTGTCTAATTCTATTTTTATAACTTCATCCCTCACTACATTTATTACTGACTCTTCAGCAATTTGCCTATAGCAGTTAAACAAGCTAGTAACCTGCTTATAAAATGTAGTTGTTGGATGGCAAGGAAATGGTTAATGACATGAACGTACATGAGATCATGGCACATCACAACATTTCACATCATACTATACCACGTGAATCAAGCATTCATCCAGGTTAGTCGTTCACCCTTCTGCGTCTGAATCCACACCTATAATCCTTAATTGAGATTTAGGATGACAAGCATGCAACTGGTTAATGTGAACCCACTTTTCAATAAAATCACCATCCTTAGGAATTTTTATCTTGTACGCTACTGGGGAAATTTTGTCAATGATGACATATGGCCCTTTCCAAGAAGGTAAAAATTTATTTTCCTTGACTTGATTTTGCGCAAAGTTATACAGATAGACTTGATCTGTGATCTCATATTCCTTTTTCGTGGTTTTTAGATCGTAATAGGTCTTAACCCCTGTCGCTGCTTTTTCTAGATTCTTTTGGGCAAAAGCAAATGCATGCTGTAAATGCTTGCGCAAATCTTCGATATACTGATGCGTAGTGGCAGCATTGATCAAGTTATGATCCGAAGTACGATATAGTAAATGCTGTGGTAAAACCATCTTTCTTCCTGTCGTCAATTCAAAAGGTGACAATTTGGTAGCAGTGCTAGGTGTAGCTCTAATCGCCATTAAAACTAGGGGCAATTTAATGTCCCAGTCTTTACCAGACTCCTTAACATATTTCTTCAGAATATTAACGATAGACTGGTTATATCGCTCTACCCCCCCGCTAGACGCAGCACGGTATGCAATATGTAGCTTTTGTTTAACACCTAGAATGTTCCACATCTTAGCCATTACTTCGCTGGTAAAATGACTACCTCTGTCTGACTCAATTCTTTGAGGCAGACCGAACCTGGAAAAGACATGGTTAATCAACAAAGTGGCGCACACGGTACTCGTGTTCTCTTTCAAGGCAAACATTCTATCCACTTTGTGTACATACATGTAACAGTTAACATGTATTTGTTACCTCTTGAAGATCTTGTTACAGGACCTATAAAGTCAATTTGAATATCAGACCAGGGTAATGACACCCCCCTCTTCTGAAGTGGTGCACGATAGGTTGGACCATGGGGTTGATATTGCGGACAAATCAAGCATCCCTGACAGTATGTCTTAACATCCCTTAACATGTGTGGCCAATATGCATAATCACGCAATATCTCATATGTGATCTTATCACCACGATGCCCAGATGTAGGTGCATCATGTGCGTGTTGGAGCATTAACCCTCTGTATACAGTTGGAACTACCCATTGTTGTATACCATGTTTAGAAGTTCTGACCAGTAACCCATCCATGATACTAAATTGGACTTTATATCTCATCAAGATTCGTAAATCTTCATTATTTTTGCAATCCTCATCTGTGATGGGATTGGCAGTAGGGTCTTCTATATGTCTATAGAAAATGCCTATGACGGGATCACTCTTTTGACTAGTAATCAGGTCCTCACTAGGAGCTTCTTGACTCCATTGCACGACATTTAAGTCGGCATTATCTCTAGCCTGTCGTCTTGTTATGGCTTCAACATGAATTGAACCCATAAGATCATCAATGTTTAGGGTTTCACCATTGATGGCAGCTTGTTTTGCCAGTGAATCGGCTAAGTCATTACCATCCTTGTCAATACCTTCTATTTTAGAATGGCCTTTGGTTTTCTTCCAATATATGGATAAACCATTTTCCTTAACCAGTTCATCAATTTTACAAAACAATTTCCTATGTTTAACAGGTTTGTTATTGCTTTTCAGCATTTGGTTACGTTTCCAGCTAGGCAGATATTCGACGAAACTGTTGCGAACATAGTTGGAATCAGTTATAATAACAAATTCTTTGATACCATATTCTATTGCCATTTGAATGGTCTTATATACTGCACAGAGTTCAGCTATCTGACTGCTTTTGGGACCAATACTGTATCCTATAGATACATTAGGATAATCACCTGTCCAGGCGATTCCGATACCTGCAACTAACTTCCGTTCAGCACCAACGACGTGGTGATATGAACAACCATCAATGTATACCCACGGTAGTGGTCGACAGTATTCCTCGTCATAAACTTTATAAGGAGATAGCAATTGCTCTTCTAGGAAGTCATCTCCGGTGTCATTATCATCCAGAGATGGAGCAGTACAGTCATGTAATTCTGCTAAACCTTGGGCAACTGGGCTTCTCTTATTATGTTTATAACGGACTTCTAACAGCCATCCCTGTAAGGATAGAGTCCATGCAGTAATCCGACTGTTAGAGAGATTACCGTCTCTAATTCTTTCACTCTGCAGATACTGTAGAGGTTGGTGAGCTGTTTCTACAATTATTTTCTCACCTTGAATATAGCTACGAAAATTTTGTAGTGCCCAGACAGTCGACAATAACGCCTTCTCACACGTGTTGAATTTAACTTCAACAGGTGACAAAGTCTTGCTAGCATATGCAATAACTTTGTTTAAACTGTCCTGCTTCTGATACAGAACAGCACTAATGCTTAAGTCGGTATATCCTGTCTCCAGATAGAAGGGTTTACCCCCCTCTGGGTATGCTAAACAGGGTGCCTGAGTGAGCTTCCTCCTCAGTTCACTTACCGCTTGGTCCTGAGGCTCCCCCCAGTTCCAGGTAGTTTCCTTTTTAAGCAGGTGTAAGAGTGGTTTAGTTATTTCTGCATAGTTATCTATAAACTTACGGGAGTAGTTAGTCATACCAAGGAGCGATCTTAATTCCCTGATGTTTGAAGGTGTTTTAGCCTTTAGTACGGCTTCAACCTTCTTCCTCTGGGGATTTAATCCTTCAGAAGTTACCTCATGTCCGAGGAAATTGACATGGGTGCGACACCATTGTGCCTTTTGTAAAGACAGTTTAATCCCTGCCTCTCTTAACTGAGTGAGAACATGTCTAATCTCCAAGATATGCTTATCAAAGGAAGTGCTTTTCAGCAAGACATCGTCGACATATGATAACGTTCCTCTCTCGAGTGCGTCAGGCATAGCTTTATGCATGAACACAGCGAATTCATGACCAGAGTTTATATAACCGAAAGGCATACGGGTCCAGGTATACTGCTGCTTTCCAAATGTGAAGGCCAATTTGTATTGGTCTTCATTATGGACTGGTACAGTCCAATATCCCTGCGCACAGTCAATGGCAGTGAATATTTTGGATCCCTGCATTTGTACCAAACATTGGTCTATGTATGGAGTTGGCCAACCAGACATATAGACGCGTTTATTTAGCTGTCGTAAGTCAGCACATAAACGCCATTGTCCATTAGGTTTCAGAATCCCCAAGATTGGATTATTATATGAACTGTGCACTGGACGTATAATGCCCCTTTCCTTTAAATTCTGAATGATGTCTTGTAGACCATCATATGACGCTAATGGGAGTCTATATTGTTTGATAAATACAGGTGGTAAATTTGGATCAGTTTGTATTCTGGCTACGTGGAGGTTAGTTAATCCACAGTCGTAGGAATCTTTGGCAAAAATATCTTGGAATTCCAAAAGGATTTCCTTTAGCTGTTGCCGCTCAGCATCGTTGGAGCAACCGTCAGCTAAAGATATTTGCTCTTCTAGCCTTTCCTGAAATCCTGGAAAGATTTCAGGCTGGCCTATCTCATAAGCTTCTTCAAGCCTAGAAGTTAGGTCAGTTCGGTGTTGACTTACCTTTTCTCTTTGGTCGTGATACTCTTGTGATTCCTGCTCATTGAGCGGATGATCGAAGGTGATAGATGCTTTTTCGATTTTACACGAGCCTTCTTCAACGTTGAAGGGATACACAGATAGGATAGTGAATAATCCTTCTGGGGAGGAATGGAATATTTGATCGACAATTTCGTCCTCAGTTAAGTATTCTTCAGGGATGAGGCCTATAATTTGGTTTTGGAAACCAAATGTATAGTACTCAACATCCAATGCTAGACCTAATGATGTTCCTTTTGGTAAAGTAACACTATTGGGTGTAACATTGTTGACCATGATATAGGTGGGATTCTTACCAATACTTACCATTGGTGTATGTGTTACCACCATCCCTAATTGTTGTATCCTGTTGGATAAACAGATTAGGGCATCAGAGTTTTCTAATCTCTGACCCTCCTTGACCTGTAGGGGTAAAAGAAAATTACTTGTCCCCTGTGGAATGGTTATGTCATCAGGAACTTGGATACTTACCGCATATGGGAGTATTTGTCCTGATTTCAGGGTGTTTTCCTCGTGTAGGTTTCCACAAGGATTACCTTTTAACCTTGTCCACAAATTGGAATTAATCAGGTCAAGGTGTATGGCAAAGCGATGTATGACATCATTGCCAACGTAAACCTGATAGCGAGGTTCGTCTATCACTAGGAATAAATGTTTAACTGTCTTATTTCCGATGGAAATAGATAGTAAACATTTTGCTATCACATTGTGACTCTCTGATTCGCCATCCAGATTCTGGATCCACCTGTCATGTGGGGAAGTGTACCTGATCATTTTAGGATTAGCGATCTGCCTTAACAGACTTCTGCTAATATAGCTGTTTTCACTCTTTAAGTCCAGCTTTGCATTCCTACTTCTTCCTAAGTCATGTATTTGCATAGGAAAGAATAAGTTGTTATTAACCCTTTCAATTCTGGCAAGGAATTGAGCATGACCTGCCAGATCTACAGATTCAACATAGTCCCTGTGGAGAGAAATGGTTAAAACATCACCTTCCAGAGAGACATTCTGGATCCTCTCTGGAGCAATTCTTATGGAATGCTCATCTACAGGTGTGATTGCATCATTCACCTGCAGGATAGTCACGTCAGGCGACTGACTATTTCTAAAATGTACCTCAATCGAGTCAGGTCTTTCTTCTATCACATGGCAGTTACGATCAGATTGTACATGTGATTTCTCATAGGTTATGGGAACCTTAGCTTGTGACCATACAATTCCATTTACACAGTCAATAATTGTGTTAAGTCTTCTGAGTATGTCTATACCCAGAATCAGTCGGTCATAGGGGAGATCTACCACTATCACCGGGTGTCTAAAGGTTTTGTTACCTATTTTAAACTTTAACCAGGTATTGCCAATAACATGAAGGGCATTTCCTCCTACACTCAACAGAGCATTGGGGAAATCTCTTAGCTTCGGCTTATCCGTTGCTAAGTCCATTACCTGCTGGAAGTAGGTATTGGATAAGATAGTGGCTTGTGAACCAGTATCTATTAACCCTTTAAAAGGCTGGGGTAACGAATCCTGTATTTCTACAGACATGTAATACCTTCCTTCATGTTCTTCTAATTCACATAAGAATTTAGAATGTGTCAACATATTACTTGTTTTCCATACATTACCGGTCACAGCAGTAGTTTCTACCTGTACTGAGGAATGCTCAGTGTAACGGATCACCTGGCACCCCGACTGGGTACCTCCGTTGAAAGATGCTCCTAGCGCTTCCAGAGGACTCCAAGCACTCCACCAGACACCATAAGCACCGCAGGCTGCAGCTATCTCCCTTCAGAACGAAGCAGGAACAAGCTCTTACAAGAGCTCAGTGATTATAGCAAGGGAATATGCCTAGCATAGCAATCCCTTGTAGCAGATTCCCCCAATAAGAGACAGGACTCAAGTTGAGGGTAAAAATAGAACTCACTGGCTGCTAGCTTGCAGCCCTTTTTATTAGGTGCTCCCATGAAGGGGAGGGACACACACAGTAACGTACATTAACCAATCACACAATAGTTACATCCCACACATAGCCCTCCCCTCTACCTGTAAACTAATTATCTGTACACACAGGGAAATACAATTATCATAGGTAGGGAAAATACAGTTTTTACACAACATTCATAACTCCCAAAATATACATCACATTCGCATAAAAATACATATTCACAATCAATCCATTCAGGGGAACAACATATTAAAAAATGGCATGAATCAGACCAGGGGTTCAAAAGTTAGTAAAAGTATCTTTTGTTCCCCCTGGCTCAAACAGTAAAAGTAAAACATCCCCACAATGCATCCTGGCTTCCTCCCTTCTGCCCTGGAGATAATTGGAGAAGGAATCTAATTATCTCCAAAGACAGAGCCAAACTCCATTACCCACATGGCAGACAAAAAGACAGTAAAAGACATAAAATTACATACTGACACATTTAGTACATAAAACACACATTTCTACATATCCCCAGATAGCTTGGATCTGACTGCACATTATTAGATGAATGGCACTCAGATCACACGAATAAGCCTTTCTGCAGGGAAAATAAACAGTTTAACCTGCAGGGCCATAGTCCAAAGGCAAGAGGCGGGCAAGCAGCCCCCTCCAAGGACACGTGGCGAGGTCGGTTTTGCCACACTTCTCCCCTTTGCCCCCCAGACTAACAGGGTATCTGACCTCCTGCCGGTCAGTGCCCTGGTTAGTCCAGCAACCCACCCACGAAGCACAAACAGCAGTACAGCCCACCCACAATAAATGTTTACTCCACCTGGATAAAGTAGCAACTTGTCCATGTCCAGGTGCCTCACCACGGCTGTGTGGGGAGCTGGTAGACTGCCTTGGTGGGTTGCTGAGTGGGCAGAGACCAGCGGTACTCTGCCCTGGTGCCAGTGCTACCACCGAAGTAGCCTGATTGGAGCCTGGTTGTGGGAGGGGGAGACCGACCGTCTCCCCTCTGGGTACACAGCTCTGGGGCTGGGGAACAGGACCGACCGTCTCTACCCCTTGGGCTGTAAGCGCAGAGACTACGGTCCCATCTGCACAGTTGCGGGGCTCAACATCTCCCCTTGGTGGGTTAGGCTGCCGCTGGAGAGAGGGTGTAACAAGCTCCTCTCTCTGGACTGTCAACTGCCGCTGGGGAGAGGGGTTAACAGGCTCCTCTCCCTGACACTCTCTCTGCTGGTGGAGAGGCGGACCAGCTGTCTCCCCTTTCATTATTTTGTCCTGCTGCTGGGGTGTGAGACTGACGGTCTCTGCTCCCTGCAGGACACACTGCCGCTGGGGAGGAAGGACGACACCTTCAGCTCCCTGGGGTACACACTGTCGCTGGAGAGGAAGGATTGCACCCTCAGCTCCCTGGGGTACACACTGCCGCTGGGGAGGAAGGACGACACCTTCGGCTCCCTGGGTTACACACTGCTGCTGGGGAGGACGGACGACACCATCAGCTCCCTGGGGTACGCACTGCCGCTGGGGAGGAAGGACGGCACCTTCCGCTGGGGCAGCCTGTAGAAAGTCAGGCTCAGGGGAAGGAAACAAGGGAGGACAGAGGCCAGCGGCGCTCTGCCCAGTTGCCAGCTCTTCTGCTGGGGGGTCAGGGAACAAAGGAGTTGGCTGGGGAGGAGAAATATCACTTACCTCCCCCTGGTACTCCGGCTGCTGCTGGGGGGGGAGGTCGATGCTCTCCACTTTCTGTAACTCCAGCTCTAGTTGGGGATCTGGGCCGGTTGCCCAGCATCCCTGTAGGGCCGGTGGAGAGATCTCGGTCCCATCTCCACCTGCCTGCAGGGGGTCCTCCCAGGACCAGTCTATGAGGTCCTCTACCTCGGGTACCTCTGGTTGCTGTTGGGGAGGGAGACCGGTTGTCTCTTCCTCCAATAACACATTCTGCCGCTGGGGAGTGAGACC